CCTTCTGCTTGCTGCTGCCCTGCGGCGGGGAGCAGCCATGAGGGCTCGGCTGGCCTCGCGTCCCAGCCGGTGGCCTGTCCCCGCCCCAGGCAGGACCAGGTCCCCTCCCCTTGGTCAGTGGGTCCCTGGGTTTTTCCTGCTCAAACAAACCGGTGCTGGAGAACGTCCCCACTGTGCCACGCGCCTGGCCAGGGGACAAGAGCAGGTCACGTCCGTGCTCCAGCCCAGTGACCCAGTGCCACCAGTGCTGAAGGGCTGGGCTGAGGCTTGGTGCAGAGCTGGAGGGAGGTGGGAGGAGAAGGCAGCCCGGGACCACCGCTCCCCTCCCGCAGCTCAGACCAGCTCCCCCACGTTACTGGCCCAGTCGGCACAGCAGATTCCCGAGCTGAGGTCCCACTTACCATCTCCTCCACAGCAAATAATTTAACAATGTTTTTATGGTTCAGCTTCCTCAGCATCTCGAACTCTCTCATCTGGACCTCCTGGGGCCGGTGGTAGCTGGCATTATTAAAGACCTTCACAGCAACCAACTCCCCTGATTTCTGGTAAAAGAGGAAAAAGAGAAAAAGGAAATGGGAGGTGACGCCATCCACGTCCTAAGCAGCTCTGTCAGCTCCGGTACCGCTCCCACGTCCCACTCGAGATGCAAACTATGCTGACAGTATAACGTGTTTTCTGAACAGGCATCCTCCAGCCTTCGTTTTCTCGACTGCAAAAGCACACTGATGTTATTCACCTCCCTTTGCTTCCTGTCCCCGAAGCCTATGTGCTACATGGCAGCACGTTTATTCAGCTTCATAACAAGTTTATAGCTGGCGCTGAGGCTGGCAGCTCCCTGCCTGCTCTCTGCGGGATGGGGCTGTTTTCAAACCACCCTCGAAGCCGCCTCTCCTGCCCTGCGCCGTGCAGAGACAGCTTGCTCAATAAACTTCAAAGGCCAGCGAGGCAGAGAGTCTCTATTCCAACCCTGGCAAGTGTTTGCATGAAATATGCAAATCGCCAAGGACGGGGTTTTCAAAGCCTCCGGGCATTCCCCCAAAAACAGCTTCTTCCCCCCACGATGCACGGGAGTGCCGGCGACGGGTGAGCAGGACCCTGCTGTGAGCACCCTGAAAGCTGCCCTCGACCCGCAGACCTGAGCTGGTGCCCGGGGGAAGGAGCCAAATGAAAATAAAACCCAAAGCAGCGCCCGACACTGCCGGCTGCCGCCGGGGAGCTCCCGGGAGGGCAAGCAGAGGGGAGCACAGGCATTCCCGTGCCGCAGGGCAGGAGGGCTGGGGGGCCATGGGGGCACCGTGGCTTTGGGGTGGCTACCCCCCGCCCCCGCTGCCCCTGCTCACCTTGTTGCGAGCTTTGTAGACACAGGCCGTGGCGCCCTGGCCCAGGAGGTCCTCGGTGCTCCAGAGGTAGTTGGGGGTGCTCTGCATCTCCAGCAGCGCTGCTGTTGGGGGG